CCGCCCCCGCGCGCCCGGCGCCCCCCATCCTGCGTCCTGGGCGGGGCTCCACACCCCCTCCGCCCACCGAGTGCCCTGGGGACCGAGCCAGGCTCCATTCATTCATTCCGCAAGGCGCAGGTCGCTGTGGGGAACACCTACCGAGCTCCTGGGGACGGTGACCTCCAAGCCTAGGGTGAGGGAGGGAGGGGTGGGACCTGCAGGGGAGCAGGCCTGACCCAGAGGGGCCCACACCCTCGGTTGCACAGGGTCCGGACCCTGCCTGAGTGGCTGAGCCGGGAGAGGAGGGACAGGGCCCGTGGGCACCGCGTGAGGCCTCTGCCCAGACCGGGGCTCTGTCCCCAGCACCCGACAGCTTCCTGGCAGCGTGACAGGGTCCCGCTGCCTTGTGTTTCCTGGACTGTGGGGCTCGGGCAGGATCTGGTGGCCCCGTTCCAGATCTGGACCCAGTGAGCCCAATGGCCCAGGGGAGGGGGGTTCCAGAGCTGGCCCAGCAGCCACCCAGGCCGCCACCCCAGGAGGCCCATGGGGGAGCCCCCTCCTTCCCACCAGGATTTGTCCTCTCCAGCACCTGCTGCAAACTTGACCTGCTTTATTCCTGAGGTCGCCTCTTCCCCAGCCAGCACCCAGAAGGCCACCTGAGAAGGAGTGGCATGGAGGACGGCAGATGGGCCCGGGTGGGGATGGGGGGCTTAGAGCAGCTAGCGGCAGGGTCTCAGGGTCCCCAGTTTCTTAGGGGCCCAGGACAAAGCCCAGAGAACCCTGGGGGCTGATACCACCCTTCACCCCAGACACCCTCTTCCTCCCAAGGCCTGGCTGAGGGCCTCATTCTGGGGGTGGGGGCCCAGGTGGCACGAGACCCGGGACCAGGACCTGGCGGGTATGACTGCGTGGGGCAGCGACTCAAGCATTCTAGAAACCCTGGTGTCATCCTCTTTTCTGCTCAATGCTCTCACGCCAAGCACAGAGCTGGGCCCTGGGGACAGACACCCCTGCCACCAGCCCAGGAGCTCCCGGATCTGCCCCAGCCCGTCCCAGCAATCCGACAATCGCACTGGTGACAGACACGTCACAGGCTGTGGAAAGGCCCAGGAGGAGCAGACACGGAGGCACCGGCTGGGGAGCCGGGAGTCCCAGGGGCTTCGGAGATGCCCAGCATGTGCCCTGCGTGTGGCCGGCCCCTGGGACTCGACTGAGTCCTGCCATCACAGGACTGCGTGAGCAATAAACCGCAGGCACGTGTGGGTGTTCAGTGTGTCAGACGGAACCAAGAGGTCCCTGGAAAACAGGAGAGGTAAAGACAAACCTAAAGCCAGGGTGTCAGGGTTGGGAGCTCTGACAGAGAGGGCCATCCGTGACCCCAGGGAGGTGAGGAAGGAGCCAAGAGGGCAGCTGGGCCTGGGGAGCCTGCAGGGGACCGGGAGGTGGGCCTTAGACGGCGCATTCATCTGTTTTCTGGGGCTAGTAGCAAGGTGCCTCTGGCTGGGGGGGTAGAAAGAAAAGAGGGCGCTTTCGACTCCAGGTTCCAGGGCTGCCAAGGTCTGGGACACATCTGGGAATGGGCTCACTGGGTCTGGGATCCATGACAGTGCAGGACACCATGTGGCAGGAGACAGGGAGTGTGTGTGTGTGTGTGTGTGTGTCTGTCTGTCTGTCTGTCTGTCTGGTCTCTGATCTTTTTTTTGATACGGGATCTGGCTATGTTGTCCATGTTCCCCAAACTGGCCTCAAACTTGTAGGTTTGAGTGATTGTCCTGCCTTAGCCTCCCACGTAGCCGGGACTATAGGTGCATAGCTCCATGCCCAGCTCTTTCCCCTTTTTTGTCTTCTTCTAAAGCCACCGGATTGATCATAGGGCACCAGCCATGGACCTTGCCTGATCCTAATCATCTCCCCAAAGCTCCTGCCCTAAACTCCTTAGTTGGACTCAGTTTCCACCTTCTAACACCTCCCAGAGGGGACAAATTCCAGCACAGGGCCCTGGGGACCCTCGGGCAGGGCCAGGGCAGGGCTGGAGCTGGGAGGGGGTCTGTGTCTAGCCGGGTCCCTGCTGTGTGACAACCCAGGCAGGTGAGGGTGGAGACACAGCCACAGGGCTGCCAGGGTCACAGCAGCGGCTTCAGCCAGGAGCCGTGGCCGGGCCTGCTGTGGAGGCAGGGACAGGGAGAGCGCAGACTGGACTCGGGGCCTGGACCTGGGGATCACCAGGGAGCAGACTGGGGACCAGGAAAATCAGGGTGCCAGGCCAAGCTGGCGGGAACACTTCCAGGAGAGCCTGGAAGTGACAGAGTGTGGGCGACGGAGGGAGCAGTGAGGAGCTGGCCGGCTAGGCCAGGCTCTGGCCCTGGGCAGGGGACACCCCCCCATCCTGACCTGCCTTTGGGGCCACAGGGTCCCTCCCGGGTCAACTGCAAGTTTCCGAGCCTGGGGACAGAGGGTCGGGCCCACTGCCCTGACCTCCCGCACAGGCTGTGGCCACTAACGCCCCTGGAGGCTGGGAGGTGAGTGAAGAAAAGGACACAGCCATCTTGTGATTGGGAGTCGTGGCCTGATTCCCAGGGGGGACAGGGTCCTCCCCACTGCTGCGGGATGAGAGGGTAGGGGGACAGCAGAGCCTCCACTGAAGGCTGGGACCTGGAGGGCTGTTGATGACCCAGGGTGGGGATGGATGGGGGGGCTACACTTTGGAAGCCGCCTAGGCCGGGCAGTTGGAAGGAGACACGGACCCCCAGAATGTGGGCTCTGAGCCGTCTGCAAGACACCCAAAGGTAGATGTTGAGTTCTGTTTGGGGCTCAGGGTGCAGCCCGGTGTGAGCACCTGACTAGCATGTGTGAGGCCCTGGGGTCCATCCCCAGCACTGGAAAGATAAAGGCACAAATAAAACAGGCTATAAACCAGTATGATCCGGAGGCTGAGGCAGGAGGAATGCCGTGGGTTCAAAGCCAGCCTGGGCTACACGGTGGGATGACAGCTGTACTTCTTTTCTCCACTCGTCTGCATTTTTTTCTCGAGGTACAATTTACAGAACAGAAACTCCATCCCTTCAAAACGCACTGCTCAGCAGGCATTGCTTGTTGGCTATGTATCTATTTCCGGAAACTCATCTGTATTTTATGCAGACTGTTTCCTACAATTAGAGGCTGTGCTTCTGAGTAAGAGAAATCGCTGTCAAGTCCCTCTGCTTATCTGCAGGGGGCTTCAGGAGGAGCAAGCTGGCCCACAGACACCCTGAGATCTGGACCCAGCTTCCCGGGCCCCTGTAGGCTGAGGAGTTGGAATGCAGTGCGGCCTGGTGCCTGCACTTGAGCCAGCCTCTGGTCTGCCCCTCCGCCTTTCAGCAAAGAGAGAGCCCCTTCTGCCTCCTTGCAGTCCCAGAGATTGAACCCAGGGCCTCTGCTAAATTGGTAACTTCCCTGGGCTAGACTCAGACTTGGGATCCTCCTGCCTCAGCCTCCCAAGTGCTGGGATTACAGGTGTGCACACCACACCCGGCAGGTACTGCCCTGTTTTATTTTATAAGGTCGTCCGGGAGCTGCAGAAAGCCCGTGGGGAAACACTTCTGGAGTAGACACTGCTCCGCACTCTATGTGGCTGCATCTGGCGTTGTAAGGAGAGGGGGCGGATGCCGTTTAAGTTCACTGGGCTGGATGGATTGGGGCACGGGTGGAATGGGCCAGGATGGCCAGCTGCTGGGCAGGGCAGGTGAGGATGTGGCCCAGCAGAGGGCGCTAGTACTGATCGTGTCTCCCTCATGTGCTCTGTGGCTTTCGGCAAACGGTTTCTCATCTCCTAACTCCGACCTTCTGGGGAAGGGTACACAGGCTTGGAAACGGCTGCGTGCTCTGTTTGTGGTGGCGCAGCTCACCAGCTGGGTGTCCAGGGACACGGACACTCAATGGAATATTATTTGGCCATAAAATAAGGAAGTCTTGTTGTTGGGACAACATGGTTGGGCCTGACATATGTTACCTGCAATAACTGGGTGCAGAAAGGTGAAAGGGTTGTGCATGGCTTCACTCGTTTTAGAAGCTTAAGAAGTTAAAGTAGTCGGGCATGGTGGCCCACGCTTGTAATCCCAGCACTCCAGAGGCTGAGGCAGGAGGATCGCCGGGAGTTCAAGGCCACCCTGGGCTTGAGACCCTGTCTCCAAAAATAAATCAAGTTGAAGTTATAGAAAGGGTGCAGAATCGTGGTCCCTAAAGGGAGAGGAGGGGGCCCAGGTAGAGAGAGGACGGGTAACCCGTGTTGGAATATAGTTAGGGGCAGGGGAGTGGCTGAGGAGTAGAGCACCTGCTAGGACCCTTGAGGTCCTGGGTTCCATCCCCAACACTGCAAAAATAGATAAATAGATGAATAAATAAACAAGCGCGCAGTTAGATGGGGAGAATTCATTGGACAGAGCAGCAGGCTGACTATCGTTTAAATAAATTTATTACAGTTTATAAAGAACCGGAAGAGTTCCCAGGCTTCCCTGCAATAAAAGGATAAATGCATATAAGGAGCTAGAAATGTTAACTACGCATTAGATCATCAAACATTGTACACATGCATGAAGTTGTCACATTGTGTCTCATACCTGTGGACAGTGATTTGTATCAATTAAACTTTTCAAGAAGAAAGAGTTACTGTCTTTAGAGTACCTGCCTTCCTTCCATGTACAAGGCCCTGAGTT